AAATAAAAAGTGTCAATATAAAAAAAAAAAAAGAAAGGTATACTAATATGTGCATATCAGCTTTCGGAGGTGTCTGTTTGTGCTGCCAGTGGTGGATCATGTACTGATTTTGCACTTCAGGTTTACGTTAAGCTCCAAATAAAAGATAAGTGTGTTTAAAAGTTTTCATAATATCCATACTAAAAAGTAGGGATGCACCAGTATCGGTATCAGTGCCGATACTGGGCATTTGCACGAGCACTCGTGAAAATGCCCCGATACTAAAGAGGGCGATACCGGTCCTTTACATTATTAAACAGGTTCGGCTGCTCTAAGGACTTGTGCTTGCTGGGGACCACAGGGCAGCCTGCTGGGGACCTTGCAGTGCCTGTCTGTTTACATTGCCGGTCCAGCTAATTAAATATTACCTGTATTGGGAGTGCATTGTTTTGAATGAGCCAACCTCCTCAGATTTGTGTAGAAAATCTGCCTTTACTGGATTGTGCCTAGTTTTTTCTCTGTTTGCTTTATGCGGCTAGGCTGTAGCCACCCTGAACTTTGTTAACTATTTCTGTGCTCCTCATGTTTTCCCTAAGCTCACGGTATTGATTGCTTCTGCCTGCTACTTTTGAGGATGTTCCTGTAGTCAGTGTGGGAAGACCCAATAACTAAGTTACGAATATTTGTCCTTCCAAGCCAATTACTGAGGAGTTTGTTCAGGAATGCGCTGAGGGAAGCTGTTAAATGTTTGGAGCAACCTACCAGAGTTTTTTTAGGAAACAGAAACAGTGTAAAGCTCTCTGGCTTACACTTCCCTGTTGGAGGGTCTGTCCAGAGGGGACTGTGCAAGAAGATGTCTGCCTGGAGGGTGTCCAGGAAGAGCTGGAGAGAAACTGCTCCTGCTGGACATGGCATGATGGACCCACTGCTTACAGAATAAGGTACCTGTGGCTACTCTGAAAGGGTCAATGGCTTACACTGTTCAGAAAGAACATTTTTTTTATTACAAATTAACATAGACTGTGACTGCCTTTAGGCCCCAGTTCACATGGGCGCTAAAACCATGCAGTTAATGTGTGGGTTTTACTGACCCCCCACGCCCATAATGTGCTGCATATTGTTTTCTGTTATTTTTATTACACTGTTTTGTATTTCATTGTTTATTATCATGTTATGGTATGTTCCTGAGACCTAGTGGTAGATTACTGCTACTACAGCTTAATTTCTCTATACATTTGGTATCTTCCATTCAACCTCCCTCATGTTTAGTTTTAATTGGTACAGTTTTCTAGTTACACACTTCCAGCCTCTCCTCCCTAGTTTCTTTTCACTTCTTCCCCACTGTGTTAAGAGGGTTCTGTTCATGCTGTACACATCTTCAGATAGAAATGTCTTTCCACCTCTGCGAATAACAAGTGAGTTTTCTTGGTGAGTTGGAACCTGCCTGTGGCTATCATCAGCTCAGTGGGTAGTCATACTATCTGTACAGAATAGTCTCTGGAAGGTATGTGCAAAAACATAAATCGGTATTTGAGACAGAACACGATGCTTTACTTTGGGGAGCAGCAAACAATATACAGCATGCCACTGTTGACAGGTGCTGCTGCTTGTCAAATGCGGCAATTGGAAAAAATGGGACCGCGCCGCAACTGCGTGGGTATGCGATTGCAGCGCATTATTTCAATAGAATATCACACTGGGATTTTTTCAAAATCACTGCATTCATGAGGCGCAGTATTACATCCTAACTGCCAGGCAGCTGCTGCTTTGCCACCCTCTGAAAAGTGATCCACCTCAGATTGCTTATCAGAGGGTGGTGGGGACTACTGTCCATCTGAACAAGGCCTTACAGAGTCATAGAACTGATTTTGGCTGCTCTTAAAAGGCCAAAGATTAGCCAAACACCAATTGACCTCACGACACATCTTTCAATACTTACAAATTAAGCATTTTATACATATACTTCTTCCCTCCCTCACCCCATTTGAGGAGTACCTACTCGATGACACGAAAAGCGGAAGACCCATTTCCACTTTATATGCTATGATACTTGACCACCTACAAACTTCTCTCCCCTCATACACCTCCAAATGGGAACGTGATCTGGGGTGCTCTATTCCTGCTGAAACATGGTCTCAAATTTGGATGACAACCTCTCGGAGTTCGGCAAATGTCCAGGCGCTTGAAGCCAACTACAAGCTACTCCTTCGGTGGTATCTAGTACCCCTTAGGATCTCCAGAGCCATCCCGTCCTATTCACCGAACTGTTTCAGGGGTTGCCGGGTGGAGGGATCGGTCCATCACATTTGGTGGGCTTGCCCTAAAGTGAGGAGATTTTGGCATAGAGTATACCAACTTCTGTACACAGTCACAGGCAAAACATTTCGCAAGGACCCCTTGGAGGCCCTGCTACATAAGAAACCGTCGGTGTGCACGATTCGGCAACACCGTCTGGTCACGTTCATACTTACAGAAGCCAAGAGAGTAATTGCGAAAGCTTGGAAGTCCCCTAACATACCATTTGCGGAGGTCAAGCGTAGAGTATCGAGAGTGATGTTCTTTGAGAAGCTTACGGCTCTCCAAAAGGATACTTTGGTGTCATTTCGGAAGCTGTGGGAACCATGGATTGAGTCTTACCATCCTCCCTCCTTTGATATGGAATCCCTGACTCTCTGACAGGCACAATAATGGAGGCTTTAAACATTTGATCCTTTCCTTTACCCCAACCTATTCCCACATCCCCTCCATCCTCAACCGTCCCTTTTTCCTTCCTGAAACCAGTTGCTCCATACTTCGCCCCTGAACCTTAATTTCAAAGTTTTTATTTTATTATTTTACTACAATGTTTGTTATACTTTCGATGTATATATGCAGTCCTCAAGGACTAAACTACTTGATTATACCACCATACTGTAGAAACCTGAGTTTGTAAATTTTATTTGATTCTACATTGGATCTCACACTGAATGTGCAAGTGTGATCATTCTTATCTGCATTTAAAACAAATAAAAAACCTTTTGAAAAAAAAAAAAAGGCCAAAGATTACCAAGAAACGTAAACACAAGCTACACTAAAGTGCTGTTTGGGAACTAAGACTTACTCTGGTACCTGTGTAGGCCAGATTTGCAGCCATCTTTTTCGGTTATCATGTATCCCTAAAGCCTTGTTCACACCAAATGAAGACCAGATCTGCATGAGTTTCTGAACACGCAGTGCAGTGAGTTGTGCCGCGTTTTTGATGCGTTCCGGGCCGTTTTTGGTAAAAAAATAATTTTTTAAAAAGTTTAGAATGAGCTTTCAGTGCATTCCAGGGAATTTGCATGCGTTTTTGATGCGTTTGCATGCGTTCCAGAGCAGGTAAAATAGGGCTTGCTGCAGTTTTTTTTACATGCTATGGAACTGAACGCTGCGGTGTGAACTAAAGTCCAAAATACCATTGGAATACATTGGACGCAGTTTTGATCCGGTCTGTAACTGCTCTGCTCTGCTTCTGGAACGTGCTTGGTGTGAACAAGGCCTAAAGCTGGCCATACACTATGCAAATTTTGTCTGGTTCTTGATGAACCAGCCAAAATTTGCAGAGTGGGTGCCGCTGTCAGCTCCCTTCCGCCCGGCATCCCTTGATCAGAAGATCACTCTGCGTCACACTGTTAAGCATTGCAAAGCAGTTGTGAATTAATTCATCAAATTCTCCTTTGGGGAATCTTAGATCATATACACTGAGTGGCCAGATTATTATGACCACCTGACGTTTGTAGGCAAATTAGCTATACTTTTGCGCTGAAGTTGCTAGAGGGCCAGACCATTATAAATAGGGAAGCAGGTATGTTTACCACGACAGTAGAGGTGATTTTTTTCTGAAGATATGGGTAAACGTGATCTAACAGCCTTTGAACGTGGGGTGATTGTTGGCGCTCGGAGCCATGGAGCGAGTATCAACAAACAGCAGAATTCATTACATGTTCAAGAGCAGCTGTTGTTAAAGTATTTAAAGACTGGACTGTCAGCCGAAAATCTGGGTCTGAACGTGCGAATTGTGGCCGTCAGCGACTAGTCAATGTTAGGGCAGAACGGAGCGTGGCAAGACTGGTACAAGACAACAGAAGGGCAACAGTACATCAAATGACTGCAGATCTTAATCAGGGATCCTCTCAAATGATCTCTGAACGCACTGTTCGCCGTACACTGCATCGTATGGGATATGGAAGCCGAAGGCCTGTGTCTGCAGGTAACAAGATAAAACGTCTCTAATTCGCACAGGAACACAAGGATTGGACAGTCGAGCATTGGAAAAAAGTCATGTGGTCTCCTGAATCACATTTCCAGTTGCATCATGCAGATGGCAGAGTGAGAATTTGGTGGGAACAGCATGAAAGCATGCACCACACATGCATGAGTACAACCCTTCAAGCTGGTGGGGGCTGTGTTATGGTTTGGGGCATGTTTTCCTGGCATGATTTAGTGCTGGTTACCCCTAAAGCCTGGACCCAGGAATGGAGATTTCATCCCTCCCAATGCTCTTTGAAATCTCCCAGTTCCAGGAACCCAAGCCAAATCAGGAAAACCTGGGAAGACCCGCAAAGCCAGCTCTTTCCCAGTAAACGTTTGCACTTTCTGGAACTGCTCAGCCCCACTGGCTGAGAGACCTGGGTGACAATATTGCCAAAAGACACCCTGGCATTGCCACGCACTGCCACAAGATGTATTTCTATAACTCATCTGCTATTGTAATCCACAACAATTCCAGTACTTCTGGTATTGCCGGCATGTACATCGTGACACAGGAGGGTATGGCTGTTTTATCAATAACTGTATCGGGCACACCTTTTCCTTGTATTAGCTGTTCCCATAAGTAGAACGCACATGTTTTATTTCATGAATATGTAAAATAGTCTAGATGCACACATATACTCTGTACAAAAGGCTTGGCAATTACAGATATATACAGCAACATATTTTCCTTTCTTAATCATCCTGATCTGCAAAATAAAATGAAAACTTCATAGAGGCACAAAACTTACCGTACAAGCTGGTGGCAAATCTGACATCCGGGAATACATCTACAGAACATAAAAAAAGGTTATAAAGCACAAAAATAGCCATAAGATTTCTTTAAGAATGTCAAATAATGTGACCGAAGATCATTTGTGAATGTACAAACCAAATTTAGCAACATCATCAGTTAACTAGATAATAAGGACTCATTTTTGTATTAGTACATTTTACGAAATCCACTGTTACATAATACAATTACCCACATCATGCAGATCAATAGCCCCACAAAGAGAGATATATATATATACCGTATATACTCGAGTATAATCCGAGATTTTCAGCCCATTTTTTTGGCTGAAAAGTGCCCCCCTCGGCTTATACTCGAGTCAGCGCCAGCGCGTCTTCTTACTTACCTCGCCGAGCGTCGATAAGAGAATTAAGAAAATATACTCACCTGCTCCTCTGCCCCATCTGGCTCCTAGACTGGTCCCCGCAGCCTCTTCTCCCCCTTGGCTCTGGCAGGTTAAGGACCTGTGACATCATCACACCTGTTGCAAGTGCTGTGGATGTGAGGACAGCGAGGAACATTCCACTGCTGGAGCAGAGGGGGAGTGAAGGGTGGTGACCATCGCAGGACCGAGCATCAGGTGAGTATATCTTCTTTATCCCAGCCCCTAGAGAAACACCAGCAGATAACCCTTGCAGTGTGGGGGTAGCCCCACTGCAAGGGTTAATTTTTACAATTCCTTTTTAATACAGTTTCAGTAAATACCCTTTTTAATATTATTTGAAACATTACAGCTTTTCTTCAGAATGTAAACACGTTTTTAATGAATGCAGTTTTTAAACACTTTATTGCTCTGTGTGTTTATTGCCCTGTCAATGACAGCTGTAGTGAGCAGTTTTTTTAAACAAATATATGATTGGCTTGAATAGTGATCCCGATCATCCATTGAGACCGGCAGCTCTCAGTGACAGCGTGATCGCCGAACTAAGAGCGTGCACAGGAGTGCCCTCCTAGTCCTACAATGGAAGGTAGATTAACATTTGCATCGGGCACTGTGCCTGAGAATTTTAGTCTACAGAATATGGTTGGAAACATGTTAAATTACGCAGAGCAAAAAACCCCTATTTTTAGTACATTTGTATTTTGGGGTCCATTTTATACCCTATGATTCTGTATTGTACAACTAAGCAGCATTGACTTACCTTCCCCACAACCCTACAGTCAGAAATACCTGGGAGCATGTGTCACTCGCCTGGCTTCCTCACTATGCTGCCCACAGTAGCTTATTTTACTAGGCCGTCCCAATGCGGAATCTGTAAACGTTTTAGGTCCCAGACTTAGAGCTGGATGCTTGTAGTCATAGACAGACAGAGGTTCCCGCCGCCATATTTAAAACAGTGCTAATAACCGCAATCCCAGTGATTACTGAACAATTAAGAAATAGGTCTGCTTTCTGGTTCACCTCTCCTACACATATTGACACGGTCATCTGTATCTTCCCCTCCCGTAAGCATGCTGATGGGTTAAGAGGGCCTATCTACCTTCCTTCTCCCTGATTAACAGTGGATTACGCAAAACTAAAACAGTTTCAGATATTTATACTAGCTGGATTTAAAACTAAAACAACTTTATTGAATACATTTTTGTATTTTAAAGTTTAGTTGCTGTTCTCAAGCACTTGAACTTCTGCATGTATTATCGGATCATGGGAAGATTTATATATTATTTACTTATGTAATAATAAATCTCTCTATATATATATGTATATAGAGCTATATATAGAGCTATATATATAGATATATTATGAAATGGTTAACACAGATCATAACTTTTCCTTGTCAGTTATTATTAAGGGATTATGTTCATATTTGCATAAGACTGATATCCCTGCCCTACAGTCTGTCAAATATTCATAATTATTTCAACAGATCTTTGAATTTATTGAGATAGCTTATAAAATATTACAGGGTCCCAGATTAAATCACCTGCTAAATCAACCCAACGTACCTCTTATAACACGCAAGGAAAATGGTATATTGCGTATATATGAGCGTCTATGCGTGCACTATATGCAATCCCAGAATGCATCACTCGTAATGGAGTTTTTATTGTGCTGTACGCGCGTAAATACGCTGCCCGGACGCATCTCTGTTCCATTCTGTTTTTGCGCATATATATGCTACGCAAATATACGGCTCCATACGCGGCTGTGTGTATGGAGCCATTTATTTGCATATGTTGCATATACGCGCGTATATGCGCGGCAGTGTGAACGAGGCCTTACTGTTACATAAAAAGGCACTCTAATAATTGCTGCCTATTCTTGCAACTATGCACCCCTATTTAGCTGGATAGTATAGCTCAGTATATGTCCCTGTCCGAGGTGCCCTCCCACGTGACCCAATGTCGTCTGAGGCAACAGCCTCCGGCTGCCTCATTATAGGGACAGTCCTGCACACAGTCCAGTTTGCAAGGGTAAATGCTCCTATGCCAATGTATTAGCAGAAGAACAAGCAAGGCTTTTTGTCATATTTGTGCATGCAAAAACTTTCTTGAACTAGATGCCAATGTATAAGAAAAATCAAGCAACTTTTCTAACACACGCAACCTTTGTACTTTGTAGTTTAGTCAATCAGCCCGATGTTTTTATCAACATGAAAATATTTGCATGGTACCATGCACACCGGACACAGCTGAAAGCATGATTTAGTGCTGTTTGCTGACTATGTGTACAGTACAGATATACTGAAGACCACTCTGATAGCATAAAACATATTAATATTTATCTCAGTGAGCAAATCACAGACCTGTGAGGTTCTCTTGAGCTTGGAATCATAGAAACACAGTCCCGTTTATTAAATGTCCTTTCTATCCAGGTTAAATTTGTCTGAAAAACAAAAGTGTAAAGTTTGATCAGGCTGACTACAAGGATCATTATTTGTCATATGAAAGTTGCCAGGTAACTTAAGCTAGCCATACATAACCCAAAGTGTTGGCAATTCCTACTGAATTGGTGGAAATGTGAACCAGGGATGGCTGGCCCTGTCAGCTCAGCACCACCTGGTGACAAAATTCAGTTCACAAATTAGCTGAACTGGGTAGAGACTTTGTGGCAGAATAGTGATCCTCTATCCTACCAGATGAGTTCACTGTTTGAGCATTCAGGCAGACTCAGGTGCCACAGCTGTGTGAATACAATAGCCGGCAGGTGGAGATTCCTTTAAACACATCGCTGAGCTCTGATGAGGAAACCAATTGAAAATCTATGCAGGTATGGCTAGCGTTACAGTTTCATATTCCTGCTGTCAACGAAGGATTATGTTTAGTAAAGTGGTATGAAGGTAAGAGGCAGGAATAAATATATTGAAATGCCTTTCTTTCTAGGCCTTAAAGTAAATGTCTGAGCTAAAAAAAACTCAGTGCTTCTCAATACAACACTGCCTCTTCTTTACGGGGATAACAAGCACTCATGCCAGCCCTGGGTAAACTCTCCTCTGCTGGACTACAGAGAGCCTCCCACTTATGTAATGGTGTTAAGGAGGAAGTGAGATGTCCTATAGTCCAGGGAACACTGAGGAAGGGCTGGTAACAATGCTTGGCATTTGAGTGCAGTGAAGATAGTATGTTTAGCTCAAACAGCAAGTTAGGGGGAGTTCATTGCATTTCTAGCAAATCAACAGATATTTTTCTGTAATAGCAGGATCTTCAGTGGCAAACATGGGCTCATTAGCATGTGTTACATATATGAATGTATTTTTGGGGGGGGCAGAGACAAACATGGGCTCATTAGCATGTATTACATATATGAATGTATTTTAGGGGGGGCGGGGGGAGGTTATCAGAGATACATTGCTACTCTAGATATTCTATTCATAAGTGATGGTTTTCTATCTTGGAGTTTCTCCGAAAATTCGGGTTTATAGTGCCAACACATGCCACAGCAGAGTACATAAGATATCAATTTCAGATGAATGGCAATCAATCTACTGACAAAAAAACAGAAAAACATTGAAATTAAATGCCTTGTAAACAATCAGGAGCGGGCATTCAAAACCTTGCAGTGCCTTCATTTGAACAGGAAAGACCCTTAATCACCTTAGTTTGTTACTGAGTAGAACATTTTGCAAGGACTGGGACTTTAGTGTGCTACGTTTTGTACACAGTTGTAGTTAGATAGGGTACATTCTTTTCCCCAGTACTGATCTTTCTGGTCAAGCCGCTAACTATATCTATTGCAAATTTTCCACCAGATCTACAATTGTTGCACAAAAAGACCCTGTGTGGTAATCACGTGACAAGTACAAGTCACAAGTGGCCTTTTTAAAAAAAAGAAACATCTAGTTATTACCAAAAGGCTTCAATTTCAGTGCTCTGAAACGTCATTCTTTCAAGAATGAGCTTTAGCAATTATTCCCCTTTGCCATTGCTGCATATGTATCCCTTTGTGGTGTTTTCTAGTCACTTATCTCTTATCTGAACCGGCTTTCCAACTAGCTAACAAAATGGAATCCCCGAGCCACCAGCATTAAGCTCTGCAACGTTTCTCTGTATTATACCTTAGCCGGTTAACTGTTTATTTTACTTATGGTACACATGCTCTCTGGGATCTCATTCTTCTGATTATATTTGCTGTGTTGGAGTTCTCCAGGTTTGTCTTTCAGAAATTAACCTCTAATTGCTTGCTGTATCCAGTGGGTTTTAGATGGTTGGTTGGTCTTGACAAGCTGCAGAGATTTTTCTTCATATAACTCTTTGTAGGGAGGCTTGCCGGCCCTAGGAATCACCAGGCTCCCTGACAGGTGCCTCTGCATATATAATGGAATAACTTTGATTGTCTCTCAATGGCCTCCTTGATCTGTACAGCTTTTTTCAGTGCAGTGGGTGACACCCCGCCCCCCCCCCCGACAACACCAGGATGTACTGCTCACTTTATTAGCATTGCCCTAAGTAACTGCACTTCTCACAAGAGAATTGAGTCTAGTTTTCACCTCATTTTACCATTTGGCTTATCATTTTTGAGCCACTCCCTGCCCCGGGGTGTCTACCTGCAGAATCATACTTAAAGGTATCCTCCTTTTTTGTTGTGGCTCCAACATTACTCTATACATGTGTCAAACTCAAGGCCCTGGGGCTGAATCCGGCCCACCAGGCCATTTCCTAGACTTCTACTTTCAGATCTAGGTATTAAGTTATTACTAAAACCAGCGATAATCGAATGCAGAGGCACTTATTATAAAGATAAGATACATTTATATAGACTTACAGATACCTTTTGAGGGCAACCATAATGTTGATGCGGCCCCCGATTAAATTGAGTTTGACACCCCTGTACCTACAGCCTTCTCTAGACAATCAATCCCATAAATCGTCTCCTCACCCATACCCAATGACTGCATCTCTCATCATGCTCCTTAAACTGCTACAACATTACTTCTTAACAGATTGTTGGAGAGATGTCCATTCCAGCACTGCTATTTTGGGGAGATTTCCCTTTGCTTCATGTTGTATCCCCGGGACAGAAACTGAAAATAAATCTCCCCCAACAGGATACAGATGTCAAAAAATAACCTGACAGGGTTTCCAACCCTTGCCTACACTACTAAAAAACAAACAAAAAAGTTTTAGTTACACATACACTTAAAGTATTTTTCTAAACACAGGTTTGATGATAAAAAGTGTTTATAACGCCAAAACATTTTTTGGGGGGTAGAGTGGGGGAAGGGTTGGAATCCTTATCAAGTTTTTATTGCTGTAAAAGTAAATTATGTGAAAATCCAACATTTTAATGTTGTCTCCAGAACAGGAATAGAGGGCACATTTTATTTACATTGTAGAGATTTACTCTCACTTAGGGCCCATTCACACCACATACAGATCATCTCCAGACCAGACCGGATTGTTTCTGGACCCAAAATGCATCCTAATCTGTATGCAACTTCTAACCTATGCTCACATCAGCGCAGTCCGTTCCGGACTAGACCAGAAAAATCCTGCAGCTCTCTTTTTGTCTGGTCTGGAATGCACTGGAACTGCGGGCAGGATCACACCATTTTCCGGGCCAGATCTGGTCCAGAAAATGGGGTAAACCTGCCCTTAATGTTCCATCTCTATGACAGGAAATAAAGGGAAATCTCCCCAAGGGGACACAGAGAAAAAAAGATCGACTCTTCCTTACTCTTTTCAAAACTGAAAAAGATTTGGGTACATTTATACTTTAATTTTACATAATCCAACTAATAATAATGCTAGAAAAACAACTGCAAGCATACAATAGTTCACTCGAGAAGTAACAGTTTACAATTGTATGTGTAATTTAAATGATAAGCACATCCTGACATCTGATGACATTTTGACCTAGTAAATGTACACAGGTTGCGCAGATAAGCTCATTTAGATGAACCAGTCTGGTGCTTTGTTGAGTAAACATCCTATTTTCCCTTTTCAAGGAGTAAAACTTACTACAAAGTTACAAATCTGATAACATACAACACTAAGTAGCAATGTATCACTTATTTAAATTTCTTTACTTACCAAAAATAGCACTTACAGGAGTCCGATGTTTAGATGAAAAAACATTACTACCATGTCTTTCAGTGTCCAATTCAAATGTTATAATGCAATGCTAAATTAAGTATGAGCATTACCATTGTAATTCATTTACCTCTAGGCACAGAATAGAATAGACCAAAACAAAATAGACCAGAACAGAATAGATTTGTACCTATTGTTTCAGAAATTTAGCTAAGATACAGAAAACACTGATTTTCCACTGTTGTTTACTCAGTTTGTTTGCTGGTCATGGATGGGTCAAATTTGAGCCGTTTAGCCCGCAAGAGATGGAGAAAAACACTTGATTCCCCTCTCCACACTAACAGCATATATGGAGGAATCTTCATTGTATCCGGGCAGCTGCGGCAAACATGGCTGCTGGCGCTGCCTGACAGTGACTTCATCTGAAAGGATGCAATCACTGCACCACTGACAATTTTCCACCTTGCTCAGTCAGTTTTTAAATCGACTTTTATCAAGCTGGATAGTGCTTGTGGGGCCACCCACTACACGAATTTGGGCTTATTCAAGATCGTCTGTGATCTGTATAGGACACAATGTCCATATAAAACACCTTCTGGGGCTACAAGTAGAGTATGTTCTGCAACAAAACCAGGTCAAAGTGAGCCATAAAAAGTCCAATAAAATAAAAAAAAAATCACATAAAATTTTGTAGGGGTATAAAGCAATAACTACACACATGGTGTCTGATTTCTGAACAGTCAGCAGTCCACAGTGTTACACAATACATTTTCTGTGACACTGTAGAATAATCTCCTATAAAATCATGTTGAAACTGTATTGGTGACCCTCTATGTTAGCTATACATCCTCAGCAATTGATGTTTAGTTACATGTGTTTGAAGAGGCCTCTTTTAGTATTGTTATTATAGACATGTTTCTTCTGGCTATTCTCCTCTGTATTCAGTTTGCACTGTCTGTCATATAATGTATGTTATTTTATATTCAGAATGTGTCACTCAAATAAAGAGTTTTAACTGTATAGGTGGTTCTAAGGCTGGGCTCACACCTGTGCAGTGTGTTAAAACATGAAACTTAACTTGCATATCGTTGCATGTTAAAATGCCCTGTAGAGTAGCCACCGCTCCAAGCTCACACAACAGATGGACTACAATCAGTGGCGTAACTAGTGACCTCAGGGCCCCGGTGCAAGAAGTTCCGCCACTGACTACAATGTCATGTTAAGTTTACTCATTTGTATTGAGATTTTAGTCCATCACGGGAGTGAGCTTGGAGTGTTGGCTACTTTACAACACACACAGGGAGCATGGGGTACACAAGTATCCCCCCTCCAGAAGGAAGGACAGTGTCAGTACCAATTCAGAGATGATTTGAGGATCTACAGCCAAGTGATACACAAATAAGATACATTTATGTTAATAGCTAAGGTACTTGGGTCACGGGAGGATGTTAGTATATGTCCTCCTGTGACCCTTAAGAGAACTATGGGATAAAAAGGATACCCCATAGTAACCATTCTCTTTTAAATCTCAAAAATGCATTCAAGTACCTTAGCTATTAACAAAAATGTATCTTATTTGTGTATCACTCGGCTGTAGATCCTCAAATCATCTCTGAATTGGTACTGACACTGTCCTTCCTTCTGGAGAGTGACTACTTTTGTTCCCCATGGTCCCTGCGTGTGTTGTAAAGTAGCCACCGCTCCAAGCTCACTTCTGTGATGGACTACAATCTCAATGCAAATTAGAAAACTAAACATGAGATTGTAGTCCATCCCGGGAATGAGCTTGGGATAATTAATCTGTTAATAGTTAAGGTACTTGCATGCATTTTTAAGATTTACCTCCTGAGTGTAGTGTTACTAAAGTTAAAGTTACAATTGCAAGCTAGTCTACGCACAACATACGCAAATCAACATTCTATCAATTCACTGAATGCAGTGTCAGATTTTCCATTAGGTTCAGTAGACCTGCCAATATTAGGTGTCTGAGGTAAAGAAGCCCAGTATTGAAAAATTCTTGACTACACAATTCTTTCATCATCATCACATTTGATATTAGCATATTTACATATTGTCCCAACATCCTGAACCGGTCTAGGACCAGTAAAACGACAACAAGCCTATGTAAATGTGGCAATACAAGCAGAGCAATGTGCTATTGGGTGCCAAACATTTTGCACCTACAGGTTGCAGTGATAGGAATTCAGCCCTAACCAAAAGGATTGCACATTAAAAAATAGGTATAAGGTGCTAAATAAAAGATACATTTAGAGGCAGTTTTATGTAAAGAGGTGAAAATCTAAAGGATGAAAGCATTGTATTTGTCCTTTCACCTACTTACCATACTGAGTGCTTCAGGACTGTCCATGTTTCTTCTTTGCTTGCACTGTAGCAACTGAAGATTCCAAACTCCTGCTTGCTTGTCGTCACCCCCTGGACGTCCAGATCAGACCAGAATGAAGAGACGCATAGTTCCTGTGTACTTTAGGTTAATTTTCTGTAAGATTTGTAAATTGCAGTCCAAGAATGCTCATTCTTTTTTTCTGAGAACTGCTGCAGGCGTCTGTTTGCTACAAGTTATCAGAAACAAACCAAACAGGTCTAGGATGAGAACGTTGGTTCAGTCTTCAAAAAAACAAAATCTGCTGGCCAGATACTTCCAGAACATGCTTAGCAGACAAATTTCTTACACTGAGTCATTCACATAACCATATTTGCCGATATTAACTGCAGAACACATCGCTTGAATGGGCCAATAAATCTTACATACAAGAAGGGTTATTGCAGAAAGTTGGTGCACTTAGATGAAAACTAGACGGCAGATGTCATAAAATAGTAAGATGTACTATTGATTTGCTATGTACTTCTTTTTATAAAGGAGAAGCACAAACATTATTGCAAGCATGTACAGTGTAGTTTCTTGGATAAAGCAGAATCTTTAAATATAGATACAGTTCTTTATGTGATATGTCAGCAAGTTATCCATACAGACATGCAAAGTTACTGACAGGTTTAATTTAACATGACTGATGAGTATAATGTTTAAAGTCCTACCCTCTCCCCGCTCTCCAAATTGAAAAAGAACAATTTCCTGTAAAGACAAATGTAAATACTTACCTGTTCTGCTGTCCATGCCACACCTATTGCCATGTCCTGTAGTGACACAGAGGTTGATAGGAGGAACCAATGAGACCTGCTGCCCATGAAGGTGATCGATTCACACTTACGGGTTTAGTTGCAGTGCATTAATGCACAATGTTAACATGCCTTATGGCATGAATGGGGTGCCAATGAACCTCAATGGATAAGAAAACATAAATGAACCTTTTTTAAACTGTCAGTGCACCACATTGCACAATATATAATATATTGTCAAAAGTATTGGGACGCCGTCCTTTACACGCACATGAACTTTAATGACATCCCAGTCTTAGTCCTTAGGGTTCAATGTTGAGTTGGCCCACCCTTTGCCACTATAACAGCTTCAACTCTTCTGGGAAGGCGCCCAAAAGGTTTAGGAGTGTGTGAGGTCAGGTACTGATGTTGGACGAGAAGGCCAGGCTCGCAGTCTCCGCTCTAATTCATAGGGTTTGGATCCAGCTGCTTGGCCATGGAAATCCATGAAGCTTTCTACGCACTTTTGTGCCAATCTGAAGGCCACATGAAGTTTGGAGGTCTGTAGCTATTGACTCTGCAGACAGTTGGTGGCTTCTGCGCACTGTGCAGTTCAGCATGCAATGATCCCGCTCTGTCATTGTATGTGGCCTACCACTTCGTGGCTGAGTTGCTGTTGTTCCCAGTTGCTTCCACTTTGTTATAATACCAGTTGCTTCCACTTTGTTATAATACCACTAACAGTTGACCATGGAATATTTAGTAGAAAGGACATTTCACGGAACACCTGAATCCAATGATTTGGAGGGGTGTCCCAATACTTTTGTCAATATAGTGTATGTGTATATATGTAATGGTTGTGTGTTGGGGCTCTACTGTACAATGCATTGAAGTGCCCATAGAGCAGAAGAGTTTCCATGCATTGTAGGGGACAGCAAATGTACAATGATATACAAGCTGTACACTCACTACTTTACATTGTAGCAAAGTGTCATTTCTTCTGTGTCGTCACATGAAATGATATAATAAAATAGTTACAAAAATTTGAGGGGTGTACTCACTTCTGTGAGATACTGTATTTTTTTTATTTTTTTACAGTCTGCATTAGAGGGGGGAAAAAGGCGTGAGGTCCGTCCCCCCCCCCCAATTCATACCAGACCCTTTAGGTCTGGTTATGAATTTTAAGGGGGAACACCAGCCCCAAAAAATGGGGAGAAAAGTGGGGGGAAAAAATGTGGGGTCCCCCTAACATTCCTACCAGACCCTTGATCCGAGCACAGGCCCGGCAGGAAAGGGGGGGCGGTTGGCGATCAAGCACGCCCCCCCATCCCTGCACCTTACCAGGCCACATGCCCTCAGCATTAGGAGTGTGTCCCCATGCCGATGGGGACAAGGCCCTCTTCCCCACAACCCTGACCCCGTGGTTGTGGGGGTCTGCGGGCAAGTGGGCTTATTTGCATCGGGGTACCCCTTTAATTAAGGGGGCACCCAGATGGGCGGAGCAAGCCATGACGTCACGACTCGCTCTGCCCATTTGACATTCTCAGCTGTCAAATACAACATAGCATTCGTGAACTCCCGAATGCTATTCATGAGCTTCCAAATGCCATTCGGGTCTGTGAGCAGAGGTGTCATAATACTTTTCATATGCAACGAACGCACAAAACGAAAACGACAAGTCGTACAGACTACCGCTAACTAATTTCGTCCGAATACAAAATGAATTGACTTTCGGACCCAAATCCCGAAAAACAAAATAACGCAAAATCCGAAGCAAAAGGAAACTAATTTTTTGCCGGTGCACGTCTAATGACAGCTTTACCACATAAAAAAGGGTCTTATTCCTAACTCTCTAACTAACTCTCCTAACAGACTGCAAGAGGGAGCAATACACAATATTTAGAACTCAAGGTGGCCATACACTCTACAACCATCGCAAGACTTTAGTCTTGCGATGGTTGTAAAGGGATTAAAAAAACGTACGATCTGCCCATCTTGGACAGGCAGATCGCACTCTCGATCATCGCAAGCCCGCCCCCCTGAGGGGCGGGCTTCCGAAGACCGCAATGCTGAATGCGCATACGATTATCGTACGATAATCGTGCAGTGTATGGGCACCTTAAGGGTATGCAAACTTTTCAACAGGATCATCACCAGCCATTTATCAATCAAGAAATCAACATAGGAGTGTATTTATTTTGCTGAGCCCCCCAAAAATGCTAGTTAGTATGTTCATAGTCTTAAAACACTTTGACTAGACCACTTTGTCAATAGGACCCACCCCAGCCAGAATTTAATAAAATAATCAACATTACAATGTATTTATTTCACTGTATCTAACTGAATCTCACTTAACCCTAACTGAAAGAAAAATCATGAACCCCCCCACCACCAATTCCCCCCAAAAAGGGGCATCCAGCAGCTAAATAGCAAGTTGATACACAAACGGTATCTCCCTGCAAACAAACCTGTGATCTCTCCCAAATCTGACATAGGAGTGTTGAAAACACAGTGGGGGGAATTAAGATGAAAAGCATTTAGGTGATTTGCATTCAAAGTCTGGACTAGTCTGGGATCTGCAAGTGACTCCTGTAAAACTGGGGGACCAGCTCCCTTGTGGTAGCAGGTATCTTTTAGCCTCACACATTTAAAGTGACAGTAAAGTCAAACATTTTCCCCCTTCCCAATCCTGCCTTAAATGATGTCTCTTAGGCCTCATTCACGCAAGAAAAGGCCAGCACGTACAGCTCCGTGCTGCGTGCACGGCCGTACCGAGCAGCTCCCTGGAAGGACAGGTGCTGCGTGTGATTAGTACGCAGCCCCCGTCCTTCTCTATGGGAGTACACGGCCATACGCCGCCCTATGCTCGCCCACCCTACACGTCTGTGCGGATGTCCGTACTTGTACGCTGACAGGATGGATCCTGTCTGTGTCCGAGCCGGGACACCCGCATCTGTATGGAAATGCACTTAGGGTGAGCGTAGGGTGGCGTATGGCCACGTACTCTCATAGAGAAGGGCAGGGGCTGCTAATCACACGCAACAAATTATATTATTAAGTAGGGATACACCACTCTTACTCGTACTCGTGAAAATGCCCCGATACTAAACAGATACCGGTGTAATGACGAGAACGCCGACGTAGTCGAATTTGCCAACCTCAGCATCTGCGCTTGCGCACAGACCAGTATTATCGAGGAAACCGGCATTTATTTACAAAGTATTTTGTTTAAATTGTTAATTGTGACCGTTAATAATATGCCCTCCATCATTTACTGCCATGGATGGCATATTAATAACGGCCACAATTAACCATTACAAACTAATACTTTGTAAATGAATGTCCGTTTCCTCGATAATACTGGTCTGTGTGCAAGCGCAGATGCTGGGTCAGCGTTCTCGACAGAACTAAATTTTTAAACTGAAGCAGCTGCCTGAGGTCCCGCGCTTGCTGGGGACCTCGACAGCCGTCCTGTTAACCACACAGTGCCATGGCGGCGGGGTTTGGGGGGCCGTTCATAGTTTCTTGCTCCGGGGCCCTGAAGGTCCTAGTTACGCCTCTGCCTTAATCCGATCATCTTCTTTAATGTAGTTTTTAGCTGTACCTTCAACGCTGACTCCTCTGTCCTCCTCTTCTATCATGTCCCACGGAGTGTGTGCGGGTGCACGCTGCTCCTCGTCTCCCAGCCAAATATGTGAACTGCGCATTGTGCCCGCCCCAAGATTCTTCGTGGCCACCCGAGAAATGTTCAAATGTTTAGACGGGAGCGCGCGGCAGAGACACAGGTAAGTTTAACCCTTTTTTTTTTTAAATTCGTTTTGCATATATCTACTGCTTGCTAGCCATAGATAGACATATGCAAAAACATGCTGAGGGTTTAATAACCCTTTAATGAAACATACCTAGCTGTCATTATGTATGTAATAAATCTGTTACATGTTTACATGGCCAAGAACATAGCGCACTCCATTTAATTGCTGTATAATGTATTGCTGGGATTTGTAGTCCTCTTACAGCCGGTGCCAGTCTGCATTAGAGTGTAAGCTCCTCTGTACAGAGACTGAAGTGACTGGCTCAGTGTTCTCTGTATAGATATTCCTTTGGTCTTCCACTAGGTGTAACAACTGGGGGAGCCAACGATGCAGAGATGGGGGTGGCCGGGCAGTGACAAGTGGGCGGGCCGGGCGGCACTGGTGAACACAAGTGGAGCCTCGGCCGTGAGGACCCAGCGAGCTGCCGACTAATACTAGAAAGAGACCCGCTTCTCTCTGGCTAATGGTGTTCCTGGACCGGGAGCGCAGTCCCCCACCCCATAGTGTTGTTGTTTTTTTAACAGCCTCCTGCAACTGAATTTGGCAGTAAAAGTGGATATGCAGTGCACTGCCTGGTATGTAAAGCTGATACGAGCTTGCATGTCAGTCTAGTCTGACATTCTAGTGTCTATGGCCAGATTCGGGTTATGCAAAAACGTACAATGTTGACTTGTCTTGTAAATTGTTTTCTGGCAGCGATCAGTCAGTAAACTATCCTGCATAAAGCAGACACTGGAGGGCTGATTCACACCACAAACAGTGCGTTCCAGAGTGGTCAGCCTCTGGAACGCACTGTATGGCAACCCAGCCGGCTCCCTGCGTTCAGGGGTGGGAGGGGGCGTGGTGGTGCATTGAAGTCAATGTCACTGCAGCCACACACCCCGCCCGCAGTGCGATCGCCCACACCCAAACACCTGGCACATCAGTGCCTGTGTTCAGTCCAGTGCGATCTGCAAATATAGCAAATGCAGCATATTTTGCAGATCGCACTGGACTGGAACACAGGCACTACTGAACGCAGGAATGCACTGTTTGTAGTGTGAACCGGCCTGGAGGCAGTATCTATATCTGTCTCTGAAAAAAAATTACTTTCTACAAACATAAAACAAGGAAAAATAGTGCCAGTACTCTATATACTTTCCAGCAGTAGTCCAGGCTGAGTTTACACCTACTTCCATTGCATTAAGCAAACACGGGCACACGCTAA